GGCCCCCGCTCCCAGGGCCGCCCGGGGCTCGTCCCAGGCCCTGCCGCCTCCTCCGTGGTTCGTGACAGAGGCTCCAGCGGAAAGAATGGAACATTGACACACAGATTTTGAGGCGACTGAGAGCAAGTTTCAGCTGGAGGCGAGTTTCCTGATAAGACCAGAGAACAGGTAAGACCCCGCTGTGCCGGCGCGGTCGCTGCGGCTGCTGCTGCTGGGGGAGGGCGGCCTTCTGCAGTGGACGGCCGGTCACCTGGGAAACTGTGGCTGTGCTGCCCCGAGGTAAGAACGGCCTGGACGCGCCGTGTGCCGAGAGGACATCGACGTACCTGCGTGCGTGTCACTGGCTGGCGATGACACAAACAGCCCGAGCTGCCCTGTGCGTCCTTAACGGTAGAGTTACATCTGCGGACACTGCGTTAGGTCCGACGTCTGTTGTGAAAGCCCCCCGCCCGACCCCCCGGGCCCGGCCACTGTCACCGTGGCACAGGTGCCCTGAGGTCACCTGCCAGCACAGGTGTGGGGCTGCTTCTGAACCTCGGGGCGCTGGGCGTGGGGCTCCGGGCCCAGCGGCAGCACCTGCGGGGCTGGTGACACGGCAGTGACACAGCAGCAGGGACCTGAGGCAGCAGCCTGGGCGGGGCCGGGGCCTGACTCTCTGCAGAGCCTCTGGCCCCTGAGGGCAGGCAGGCGTGGGGGTAGGGGGGCAGCCCAGGGCACGGCCGGCTGTCCCGCTGTCCCTCTCAGAGACTGGTTCCTTCGGCCCAGCAGACGGGGGTGGCGATGCCCGCGGAGCAGGGGCGGAGGTGAGCGGGGCCCGCGCTCCAGGAGGGCCGGGGGAGCCTGGGCGCCTGTCCCGAGGTTGGAACAAGTGAGACTCAGGGTCCCGGCCCCTGCCCTGCTGCGGAGGGCGTGGGTGGCAGTGGGGCAGTCGGGAGAGACAGCGCCACGGCCACTCTGCGGCGCCCACGCCCACGAGGGAGGTCGGAAACGGTAACGTTTGCCGAGGGGAAGCTAAGGCGGCTGCCTTCCCGTCGGGGCCGAGGCCCGGGGAGCGAGGAGGGCGCCGAGGTCCAGGTCCCGAGCTGGGCCGGCCGCCGCTGCCCGGCCACGCCCTTCACAGCTGCTGTTTGTGCCACGGCGAGGTCTGTGTCCCTCTTTGTTCTGGACACTGTTCAGTGGTCCCATTGTGGCTCTGCTGGCCTCAAGTGACCCCGGGGCACTCGGGCGGCGTGAAGGCCAGGACCTGGGGGCAGGTGCGCAGGGCAGGGGTGGGGCCTCCTCTCCCCCCAGGGCTGCCCTGAGGATGCTGCCACTGCTGCCCCCAGGGGTGGGTCCCCGAGGACCACAGAGGGGGGTAAGGGGGGTGTGCTCCGCCAGCCGGAGGCACGGCAGGTGAGCCCGGCCTGGGCACAGGCCACCCTGGGTGCCTTCCCTGTGCACCTGCTCTCACCTGTGGGGCCTCGGGGGCCGGCCGGGAGCCTGGGCGAGCCGTCCCCCTTGGAGACGCCTCCCTCCCGACAATGTGAGTGGGGGGCGCCCTCTCCTACGTTTAGAAGGCCCGGCAGGGGCTGGCCAACCCCAGTGTCGCCTCCAGCAGGTGGTGGGTGTGGCCTCAGGGAGTGGGGGACGCCAGCAGGACCTTGGGTGTCCGAGAGAACACTGCCCAGCGCCGTCCCCACCTGCGTCTGCAGGGCAGCCTGCTGTCTGCACGGTCCCCGGGATGCCTGCAGGGCGGCGCCGTTGGCTGGAGCACGGGCAGGGCAGACGGTGGCCATGGGAAGACTCGGGAGGGACAGAGCTCCTGGGTCTCGGTCAGGAGCAGAACTCTGTCCTCGGCCCATGGGGCCTCGGGTGCGGGTTTTGCCGCCCGGTGGATCCGCGTCCACAGGCGGGAACGCCGGCACGGCACCCGCTGCCCTGTGTGCCGACACTGTTTCCACGGAAACACCGGGGGGCAGAGTCACCGCGACAGCTCACGGGGGCCAGAGGTGTCTTGTCTGCCGAAAGACCACTCACACGCATGTGTGTGCAAACACCCCCACGAGCATGCACGCCTGCGGGCCCACCCACACTGCACACGGGCGTGCTTGCACACACACGCGTGTGCACCTCACCTGCTTGGCCTCGGGCCCCGTGCTCTGGGGGGCTTTTTGAAAACAGAGGTCGTCCCGGACAAAGGAGGGGGCAGGGCTGCGGGCGCGGGGGTGTCCCCAGTCCCTCCGTCCCTGGCAGACGCCGCAGCCCAGCCCCCCGGGGCCCGGCACCTTCAGGGAAAGGAGCCTGATGCACACCTGGCCGTGCGCGGGCCAGAGCACAGCCGAGCCTGGTGGGGGGCCGTCCGCGGGGGTGGGGTGTCCACGGGGGCGGGAGGTGGCCTCTCTGACCCAGGCCTCGCCCCCCACGACCCCGCGGGCTGGGCCAGCCCGTCCAGCGTGAAGGGTTACTCTTCCTTGCAGCTCCCGGCTGGGGAGCTGTGGGTCCCGGTGGCGGGAAGGAGCCACGGGGCTCCCGGAGAGAGCGGGGCGCCCCCTGTTGGGGACTTCTCTCCTCTGCCGCCGGACCCAGGGAAACCCCAGGCTCCCTCCCGCTGCCCAGCGGTGGGGTCCCCGAGGAGGGAACTGGTGGGGTGGGTGACGGTCCCGCCTTCCCACCTGGTTCTCCAGCGGCGAGGACGGTTTGCGCCCTGTGCTGGCGGTGAGGGTCAGAAAAGCCCAGGACAGGCCTGCGGCCCTACAGCACCCGCCTCCAGAGCCGGGCCGGCGCCCCAGGAACTAGCGCTTCCTCGTGGGAGGCCCCGGGGACCCCGCCCTGCAGCGTGGCCGTCAGAGGTCAGAGGTCAGTCCCAGGGAGCGCTTGGACGCCCGCTGCAGTGAGGGGTCTGCCGAGATCTCAGGCAGCCCCGCGGTGGGACTCTCCACGACATGGGGAAGCCGGTAAAACCGGAGGGCGGTGGGGGGGTGGGGCCGTGTCGGGCCGGTCCTGCGGCGGCGCCGTGGAGGCGGCAGGGCACCCCCCCTCCCCCCCGCAGCGCACCAACGCCCGAGGGCCAGGGGCTCAGCCCCGGGACTCCACCAGCCGAGTGCGACCCCGGGCCTGGGGGCCGTGTGACCCGCGGAGACAGGTCGGGGCCGGAGGACACCGGCCTCTGCTCTTTCCTGGGAACCGGGGCTGCGGACCCTCGGACACACGACCCGTGGGAGCAGGGCACCCAAGGTTCTGAGGGCGTCGCACTCGGGCGGACTCCTGGCTGGTGACGGAGAGGCCGTGGTTTCTCTTTTTGTCTCGCGGGAGGGGACCGCTGGTCTCGTTCGGGGTGACACGTGTGTGGGACGCTGCGTGACTTCAGGAGAGGTCACACGTGCCGTCCCCAACATCACGCAGCGAAGGCGGACGGCCAGGGAGCGGCAGCGCCTTTTATGCCGTGGCCCCGCCCCCCCATCCTGCACGGGGCGGGGCGTCTCTGGTGCTGGGGGGCGGGGCCTCAGGAACCAGACGGGGCGGCCCCGCCCGCCTTCCTCGGGGTCGCTGGGCCCGGCGACCGACCCCGGGGGCACCCAGGCTGCTCGCTCTCGGTCAGATGGAGGGCGGGTGCGGTCAGACTGCTCACAGACCTGTCGCCTCCGTTGTGACCCGGCCGGAGCCCAGGGTCACTGTGCTTGCCCGGAGGTGACGGTGGGGACCCGCGTCCTGTCCCTGGTCGGCCGAGAGCCTGGCAGGTGCGCCCCCCCGCCGATGGTGGGCTCCAGCTCGGGCTCTGGGCAGTCACGGGGACCCTGCAGGCCGCCAGCCGCGGGTGGCTGTCCTCCCCGAGAAGAGACGAGTCCCAGCGCAAATGCGGCCGAGACACTCCCGTCTCCATTGGCTGCCACGCCCCGCCCCCGGGTGGCGGTTCTCCGCGTGGGGGAGGCATGTTGTTACACGTGTGCGCATGCACGCCGTGCGTGCCCACTAGTGCCAGGAGGGCTGACAGGGCTGTGAATGACCCTAGGAGCCACGGACCAGGGGGAGGATGAGGAAGGTGAGGCCTGCTTTAGAAATACGTGCGCCTGTGCCCCAAATCACTCCAAAACGTACTCTTATTCGTGTGCGACACCTGAGGTCGGGCATTTGCGCGTCGCCACTCCAGTGTGCGTGTTCACGTGCGCATGCAGTTGGCATGTAGGAGCGGGGATGTAGTGTAAAGAGACTCCCATTTCGGAGGTCCCCAGGTGGGTCTGTTCCTGGAATGACCCCTGCGCAGACGCGCCCCTGGGCAGCCCTGGGGACGGGGCCGGCGTCTCGGTGGCTCTGCCCCCCTGGGGCGGACCCGCGGGAGGGACCACCTCGGGCCTCACGGCGTCCGGCTCTCGCTGCTGCAGGAGCCCGGTGCCTCGCCGGCTCGGGGGTCGCGAGGCGGGAGTGGGGCCAAGGGCCTTCCCGTGAGAACCGCGCCGGACCCCTCCGTCCCGCCCCGGGAGCTGGCACGGCCACAGGCGAGGGCCATGCAGGTCGCCGGGCAGCCGGGGAAGCCCAGCTTCGTAGAAAGGGGTCACTTCCCACCGCCTCCCGAGTCCCTCTGGGGGAGAAAACGAACGCCCCACCCCAAGGCCGTGGGCCGGTTCCTCTTCCTCTTCGTGATTTTTGCAGGCCCTGCCCCGCTTTCTCATGCCCACCCACGGGTGAGCAAGTCAGAGAGACATCGCCCAGAAGGGGAAACCTGGGAAAACTCCGGCGCCTGCGTACAAAAAAGTGTGTGAAATAGACCAAACGAGGCAACAACAAGGAGGGGACCGACCCCAGGGTCCCCGGGGGAGGGGGTCGTGTCGGGGAGAAGGGGTCGTGAGCAGCGGGGGAGGGCTCGCCGGGCACGCTTCTGTCGAGTCTCGGTTTCGGCAGGGAGGACGGGGCGCAGGCGACCCGCGCGCCCGAAACCGTTGTGACCCCCCCCCCAGATGAGGGTGCGCGTGGGCACGGCCACCCTGTGAACCAAACCACAAACTCCCAGCCACTCCGCCACCTACCGAACACGTCGCTGTCGCCCGAGGTCTCCCGGGACAGTCCCCGGGGCGTCCTCTTCCTTTCAGCTTCGCCGTCCTGGGAAACGAGACGGAACAGAGTTTTAGCAACAAAGTGACTCCCTGCAGCTCCGAGCTGACACACGCCGCAGCCGCAGCCCACCAGGGCCCCACCCCCGGGTGAGCGGTGAGCGAGTCTCCCCGGTCGGAGACCGCCGTGCTGCGGGGCGGGGGTGGCGGTGGTTTCCGCAGAGGGTGCGGAGCTCCGCCCATTTTCTCGGCCCCAGTGCCCACCAGGCCTTCTCCCCGTCCGGGGGGGTGTTTTCGTAGGAGAGAAACTACCACCCCGGATACACCGCGTGAGCACACTCTCACCCCAGCCCTGGTTTTCTAGCGTACAGACAAGGCGGAGAACAATTCTCGGCGGTGATGGGGACGTGGCCCAGCAGGGACCCTCCTGGGAGCGGGGACAGACACCCACGGCCCTCCTCAGAGCACAAGCCACAAAATCCTCGCCGTCCCTCTGCCTGGGGCCCCTCCCCCCACCCCCGGCCTCTGACCCCTCAGGGGCTTCCCTGAGGCCGTGTCCTTCCCGACCCCACCCCCCGAGGAGAGCGGACGCCGTCACAGACACACCGTTCGACAACAGGGGGGACCTTGCCTTCCGCACCTGGCTGCCCCCGAACCTGACCGTGGTGGGGCCCAGCCAGGGCGGCGGGGAACGCGGTTCAGACACAGACCGCGCCTCTCCGAGCGGAGAGGACTGACCGTGGTTCGTGTCCACTTTTTGGGCTTTCCTACTCAATTTTGGAAGAGTGAACTTGGAACAGAAAAAATGTCTCGGTGGTTTCCTTTCTCGGCTGTAAACTCAGGCCGTGTGTCTGTTCCACATTTGCTCTACGCAGATGCCAGCGCGGTCTTCACTCAGCACAAAGTAACAGTTTTGTTTGAGGAGTCGTTCATTCATACAACTTGGCTACCACTTTGTCCACGTGGAGTTTGTTTGGTTTTCTGTTTCGGTGCTTCGGCACCTAAAATCGGCTCACCCCTTCCAGCCCATGGCCTCTGCCCGTGAGCCCTGGCCGAGTCTCCTCTTCCCCTCTTCGCGTGAAGTCACGCCGAGTCTCGGGGGTGGGGGTGTGTCGGGTTCACGGCAAAAGCTGGGCGTTCACCATGAAGGGGGGAGGCTGGTCAGCGGTCGCAGCCTCGGGCGGGCCCGGGCTCAGGCGGGGCGGGCGGGGACTTCCTGCCGCTCACACCCGCCCTCGGGCCCTGGGATCTGCAGCCACAGCACGTCCGCCGTCCTTTCCTGACCGAGAGCGGCCGCGGGCGGAACAGAGTGGGGGGAACAGGCAGGACCTCCGTGTGCACCCGCCCCCTGGGGTCTCGTCTCCTCTCAACACCGGTCATGGACGTGCTCGCGGTGGGGGGGGGGGGGCAGATGGGGCAGGGGACGCACGGGCCGCCCGTGGAACCCAGCGACTGGTCTCCGTCCAAACGCAGGCCCGTCCCCGAGGCCCGAGAGCATGAAAGTGTCCCTGCGAACAAACCACGCGCTCTCGGCCAGCGACGTGTCTGCCAGAGGAGCGAACAGAACCAGGGGCTGCGGGGCGTCACAGGCAGTGGAGTTTCCGCGACAAAGAGCTCAGAGCTTCCTGTGCGTACGAATCGCTCGGGGACCCCACAGGGCCAGCGCCGGACCCAGCGGCCCCGGGCACCGTCCCCAGCGGCCCCAGCGGCCCCGGGCCGGGTCTGCGCCGGCAGGCGTCCGAGTGGGTCTGAAGCCGTCAAGGTTTCTGTCTTCAGACTGTTTGTGCCTGTTTTCCTCCGTCTGCCTGCGGGTGTGAACTCCTCCATGACCACGTGGGGGAAAGGCAGTGAGAAGACATCATCACGGGGAAGGCAGACTTAGAAGCGTTTCCTCACACAGAGGAGGCGTGTCACTCGGCAGCGCTGGCCGACACTCGCGGGGGAGCGAGCGGGTGGCCGCCCGCCCGTCCTCCGCCGCTCGCCCCGCCGCGGGCTTCCTTGGTGCGTGATCGGACAGTCTGGGGCGGCACAGCCGTGGGCACCCCTCCGCGGGCCTGGGCCTGCCGTCCCCTCTGGTCGCTGCCGGCAGGGCAGCGGGGCCTCGGTCCGCTCCGCCCAGGGCTCTCGGGTGCACCCGGGGCCTCGCCCCCCCCCCCCCCCCGCCGAGCCCACAGCCCCTCCGGCTCCCGGCGGCTCCAGGCGTCCCACCCGGGCGGAAGCTGCCGGACGGATTCCGTTGGCTCCACTTGGGAGGGTGTTGAAATTTCCTCTAAGCTTAGGAGCGGCTACCTCTCAAAGGTCCTAGAGAGACACTGCCTTTCAGACAACTCCTCGTGACATGGTTGGGACCCTGACTGTCACCCCCAGAGGGGCCCCCGGCGGGGCCCCCCGCAGCCCGAGGTGGGCCTGGGATGCTGGGGGGGAAGGCAGGTGGACACGACAGGTCACACGCTCACGCTCACAGGCAGAGTCCCGATCGGGGACACCAGGGACAGACAGCAGAGCCGTGGGAGCCTGGGCTGACACTGGAGAGTGCCTGCGTCCTTCTCGGGCGATGAAAAAGTTCCACCGTGGACAGGGGCGACAGACCCACACCTTTGCAAACACAGCACAATCCCACGACATCGCCCACGGCAAGGGGGCGGCGGCTCGCGTGCTGTGGGGACCACGTCTCAGCGCAGGTGTGAGGGAAAGGAGCCTCCTCCTGCAGGTGGCTCCCGTGTCGCCAACGGGGAGCTGGGCTCTGCACCCCCAGTGGCCCCCGAGCCTGTCACCCGGGACTCAGAAATGGCCCTTCCAGCAGTGCCATGCCGGGAAGGCCCCAGGCTCTGCCAGGGTCGCTGCTGGCTGTGTCCCTGGGACCTTCGCATCCCTCAGACAGGGTGTGCAAGGGAGGGAGCGAAGGGCTGGTTTACACGCGGCTTCTGGACGCCACGGCAGAACGAGTGCCGGGAGCCGTGGGGAAGCCTCTCCGCGGGCCGGTTCTGAACGTGGACGAGCCAGCTCCCACTGCAGGCGCACAGGCATCTCGCCCTCCGTTCCCGGGAGCCACTGCTCACGCAGAGTGCGGTCGGCAGTCACACCAGGAAGGGCGTGGGGACGGGGAGGGGCCGGCGCAGACCTGGGGGGAGAACGACTGTGGGCGGTTGGAGCCGAGTGCGAATGCGCTTACAGCTAATTTGCATCAGGGTGTCCTCAGTCTCTGAAGGGACCTCGCCCGTTACTGAGAACCAGATCAGGCCACGATCAGGCCTCGTGGGGAGCTCCGACCTGAGCTGGAAGTGAACGCACGGCCTCGGGAGGCACGGAGCAAAAGCCTGCCCTGCGCCTGGAGGTGTTTGTGTCCAATCGCTTCCTGCCGTGCAGCTGCGGCTTCGGCTACGGCTAGGGTAGGAGCGCCTCAGGTCCAGCTTTGAAGAAAGATACATGTTGCACAAAAGGCGAGCGCCAGGATCCATCAGAGCTTGCACCATTTTCCCAAACAAGCTCCCAGCTCGTGAACGCGCCTCCCACACTCGCCCCTCCTCCACCAGGAAAAGGGGCCAGGAGTCTCCGCCCTCGGGGACTCTCCGAGGAGGCCACCTTGCCGGGCCAGGGGCCGGGTCCTGCCCTCAGCTGGCAGTCCTCACCAGACACCGTCACACCTAGGTTGCTGTTACCCGTCTTCTGACCCTTGCCCCTACTTCAGAGAAGGTGGGAATAAAGGCTTGAGTGAAGCCACATTCCACCGCGCGTGCCAGCGCGGGGAGGGTCAGGCGTGGAAGGGGGGAGGTTCCCAGAACTCTCGCCGCGCCTGCCCCGGGTTTCCGCGTGTTCAGCGCAGGGACGGGTCCGTCGGGCAGGCGGAGCGCTCCCCGGTCTGCGCAGGCGCCCTTGCGCGGAGCGGCCTCTGCTCTCGCCGTGGTCGCAGGGGTGAAGCTCGGGAGGGGAACCTGCTCCGACTCGCTCTGCGCGCGGGAGCGGCGGATCAGGCCGGAGCTTGTCCGGCTCTGTCTGCACCCGGAGCAGGCACCTGAACGCCAGGAACCGGCTAAGTGCGTCTCCAGCGCTTCACACCCACGGGGCTGACAGAGGCCGCTGGGCAGGATCCCAGAGTCCCCCCCCGCTTCATGAAGGCCCCCCCTTCCCCAAACGGGGTCCTTCTGCAAAGGCACCTTCGGGGCAAACGCTGCGCCTCGGCCCGGCCGTCTCTCATTTCATGATTGACAGCCACAGCAAGTCCCGTTGCAGTCTGTGCGTGCGTGTGGCTGTTGGAGGGTCGGACCTTCCGAACGCAATGTCACTGTCACTTTGATGGGGTTGTTCGGCTTTGGGACAGACCCCGGCTTCAGGGCAGAAAGGAGCGGATACCCACGGTCCCCCAGACCTGGGGTGACCAGCGTCCAGCATCCAGTGGCGCTCCGCTGTCCCTCGAACATGTGGCTATTTGAGTCTCAACTGTTTAAAATAAGTGGCACTAAGAACGGGGGCCTTCAGCTGGACTAGCCCCACGCCCTGCGGTGCTTCCTGACCGCGCGTGTCGAAGGACCACGGCGGCAGCGGAGGTCACAGGCCCAGCGCGTTCCCGCCGCAGCCGGAACTCCTGCGGGAGCCGCGCGGCCGCGCCTGCGCGGTGAGGACTCGGGACGCGGCAGCTGCCCCGCCCCTTTGGTGCACCTGCTGCCGGCTGGAAGGCGGTCCGCTCCGCAGCCCCTGACGTCAAGGGGAATTCTTGGGGGGTGGGGGCGGGCGTGCGGGAGGTGGAGAGAGAGGCCACGAGGAGCAGAGGGCGGCCGAGGCCCAGCGAGCCCGCCTGCACCTGCCCTTCCGGCGCCCGCCCTTTCGCAGGTGTACACGTGCACCTGCGCGGCAGACGGGGTTGGCGAGCGTCCGCAAGCACGGCCGGCGCCCACCTGCGGCCCACCGGCAGCGTCCTCAGGTGCAGCCTGCCAGCAGTGACCTGGCCCGGGGAGGGGACGCGCTGGACAAGGGCCACCGCCAGGCTGCGCAGGGTGGATCGCCAAGGACACACCCGCGAGCAGGGCCCTCAGAGTCAGGCCCTCGGCTCTGAGCTTCTGCGTGGAGGTACGGGGGCTCGCGCGGAGCGGTGGGTGCGCCGAGTGGTGGGTGCAGTGCGGTCCGTGGGAAAAGCTGGGGGCGCAGCACAGGGCTGAGCACAGAGCAGCCACCTGTCCTCTGCGCCTGGGACAGGGCGTCTCAGGGCCCAGACACCCCGGAGCAGCGGGGTGGGGGTGTCAGGCATCCCACAGCTGGGCCCCAGCGGCTGTGAAGGAAGCGAGAGGCTCAGTCTACACCCGCTGCGGGAGGGGCGGGGTTGTCTGTCTGCAAGCACAGTCTTATCTCCCCAAGCATCATCCCGACACTGTCGGGGAGTCTCCTCTGGGACCTCGGTTTCCCACCCAAACACCTGGCTCCCACTGCCCCCGAGAGGCCGCGCCGAATAGTTCAGGTGCCAGCTAGCTCCGATAATCCTGCCCCCACCCCGAATGAGGGTGGCTCCCTGTGTCTGCTCACAGTGTCGGGCCTGCGTGCCCCTCACCTGCAGTGGCCCCGGTGAGTGTCGGGGAGGCAGGGCACAGAGGGACCGAGGCACCCAGGGGCCTGGGGATGGCGGCGCGTCACCTGTCCCCCAGGGCTCAGCGGGCACAGGGCTGAGAAGCACCCTCCGCAGACCCTCCTGGGGACACGACGGCAGAGCAGAGCCTCAGAACCAAGCGGAGGAGCAAGGCAGGGACGGCGAGGGCTGTGCTAGAAACTTGAAGACGTTCTCTGTGGCCAGTGGGGGGAGGAGGGTTCGCAGGGTCTTCCTCCGCACCATCCTGCCTCCCCGAGCTTCGCAAGCCCTCCACAGTGACACATGGGAAGGGCCTTGGAGGCGCCAGCACCGGGCGGCCCAGTCCCCAGGGGTCTGAGAGCGCCTCCCGCCACGCAGCCCTGGTGTCTCCAGGGCTTGGAGCCGCGGCGCCCACCCGCAGGACGGCGTCTCATCTCAGGGACAGGCGTGCGTGCGGAGGGCTTCCGAGCCCCCCCTCTTACCTTGTGGCCCTTCTCGGCGCTGGCCTCTCGCTTCCCTGCGTGGTTCCCCATGCTGAGCCGACCAAGCTGCGGAAGGACAGAAGCGAGGAGGTGTCAGCCCCAAAGGGGTGCGTTTACAGTTTCCTGCCTTGTTCCTCAGTCAGGAGGGCCGGCCTCCCTCCCCCCGGGAGAGGGGCAGAGGAAACACACCCCCAAGCCCCACCCACGGCGCACCCCTCGTGCGTGGTGTCACGACAACAGCTCGACTCGAGGCGGGGGCCTGTCTGGTCCAGGAACAAACACTTTCAGGGTGTTTCCTCCTGGGAAGAACAGCCGGCCCAACTCGAGCCAGGTCGGGGGCTGTTCTGGCCCAAACACGCCCGCAGAGGGCGCCGGGGTCACGGTCGGGCGCCACGGGCCGAGAGCAGCTGAGGTGCAGGAAGGGGCCGCGGATGGAAGGTGACGAGTTCGCCCGGTGTGCCCACTGCCAGGGGCCCTGTGAGCAGCCAGGCCACGCAGCCCCACCCAGGGCGGCTTATCAGACAAGTATGCCGAGAATCTGCCGAGTTTCCAGGGGAGGCAAGTTGGGTAAAAGTGAAAAAAAGTGTGTGTTTCTCGTTGGCCTGTTCTAACCCACACTCGAGCAGCAAACTCACAATATGTTTTCTCCAAAAAGGCCCAAAGCTGAAGAATTGAGCCACAGCCCATTCCTGATCTCGGCGCACCCCTGCCCTGCATGGACCCCGAGGTCCGGGCGCCCCTCGGACCTGAGGCCTTTGGGACAGCGACGAACTGCCCTTTCCCACGATGTCTTCTGGGAGGACAGGTGGGTCCCACCTTCTCGCTGAACCCGGAAGGGCTTTCCTTCAGAAGCCACCGGAATGAGTCACTTTCTAATGCGGACGGCTCTCTTCAGAACACGGGGCATTACCCGAGTTTTCCCACGGTCACCGGCAGTCCTGGCTGCCTCTCGGGTGACTCATGGCCTGTCACAGGCGGAGTGCAGACGGCCGCCCTGCGCCCCGTGACGCTCGGGGACGGGCTGGGCACCGGGGCAACGGGCCTGTCCGGGGACGGCCCCACGCGGGGTCGGGGGGCAGCCTCAAGGGGCCCCGCTTCCAGCAACTCAGACGAGAGCGTGACAAGGTGCCCGGGAGCCAAAGGCGCCGCGGTCCTGGTGCCGATGCTCGCACCCGCTGCAACGAGTCACGGGGGTTCCTCGCGCTTCCCGAGCAGAGCGGAAGGGACCCAGTTTTTATTAGGCCGAGTGAGAGGAGCCAGCCCGAGGAGGGCAGACACCGTGCGGTCTCACTTGCGTGTGGAATCTAGTCAACAGGGGAACTGACGGACAGAATAGGAGTGGAGGCGTGGACGCACGAAGCAGACTGCTGGGTCTCCGCGGCGGGGGGTGCTGGGTGAGGGGGGTGAGGGTCAGTCCCGGAACCCGCACCGGACACGCAGACGGCGGAATGGTGCCGGCTGAGGGCAGGGGCGGGGCCAGGAGCCGGGGGGCAGTGGGGTCGTCGGTCCTAGTGTCAGCAATAAAGGTGAAGTTAAATGGGCAGTGAAGTGTACCCGTTTAAAAATGCAGGTGCAGCTGCTCTGCCGGTGAGCTCAGCACGGAACGGGGTTCTGTCCCCTACCTTCTCCACTTATTTAACTAGACCCGATGGCTCGGGGACAGTCTCGTGGGGGAGACGGAGACCTGGGGGGGCACTGGGCCACTTTCCGCGGTAGGGTGGCTACAAGAAGGGGGGGGGAGGATGCGGCCTTGGCCTCCGGAGTCTGGGCCGTAGTCAGAGGACGCAGGTGGGGGGACAGCAGCGGTCACTCTGACACCTGGCCCCTCGTTAGCTCCATTACGGTGAATGCCGAGTAAAGCAAATGTTGGCACGGCTTTCGGCAACCCCGAGAACTTGCTACATGCACACGGAATCCGTAGGATGACGATGTCCCGAACATCCGTGGGCCCACCCCCCTGTTTACGGGGTGAGGAGGAGCCTCTTCTAGACGAGGCACAGGAAACGCAGCTAACCTCTTTTCATCGCGGTCGACAGCTGGGACTTTCGAGGGGCTCCCCCTTGGGGGCACAAAGCACCTCACGTCACCACCTCTGTTCCCAGCTGGGCAGCATCGGGGACCCACGTGCTCCAGCCCCGGCCACCTGCCGCCCCGGTCTGGCCCTCACCCTCTCTTTTCGGTTCCCCGCCGGGGTTTGGCAGCCCGCACCCCCCCTTTGTGCTCCTCCTCCGGAACACAGGACTCGAAGGGTTTAGCCAGCACCGGAGGCTCTCGGGGCCTGTAAATATTTGGGGCTGCGGCGTGTGGGTCCAGGCAGAACGGTTGGTTCTGCACGAAGGAACTGTGAGCGAGGCACAGCTGAGATCTGCCCACGGCTCACGCCCACGGCTCCCGGGAGAGCCGGGCCGTCTCCCGGGAGAGCCGGGCCGTCTCCCGCCGTGCTCGACCAAAACCTCCGCCAGCGGCAGAGCAGAGCTCCAGGTCACATTGGGGGATGCAACCAGGCTTCAGGAGACTTGTGACAGCTGTGCACAGACAGAAGAGGCCCCGGTCACAGAGGTGCGGGTCAGACTTCCGAATGCGAGCAGAACCGGGTAGGTCTGAGCAGCGTTTCTGACACACGACCCTTCACCCCTCGGTAAGCAGACGGCCGGTGTGTGGGGGCAGGGGGGTGGTCCAGCAGCCTGCACCCAGTGTGACCGCCCCGCCCTGTCACCGGGGCGGCGACGGTCGGGTTACAGAAGGGCAGCGATGGTCGGGTTACAGAAGGCCGTCCTCCTGCCGTGCCGGGGACAGGCCGCGCACCAGCAGCTGGGCCCTGTCATCGGTGAAGAGAGCCGTCTGCACTCCAAACGGCCGGAAGACTGGGTCACCCTCGTCTCATCTCCTGCTGCGATTAATCAAATGGAGAGAGCCAGAGGAACACTCGAGGCGCGCGTGGAATGCCGTGCGGGAGCCAGGCTGGCGCGGAGGCGGCTCCGGGTAACTTCAGGGGCTTCTGGGGAAACGAGCAATCAACAGAGGGGAGCGGGAAGACTTCTGGGTTCCCTCGGGACAGTCTCCGCGGGCTGAAGTCCGATTCCAGCTGAGATTGCCCCACAGCCTCTGGACCAGGGGGACCTTCCACGTCCCCGCGATCACCCCTCGGGGGCAGCTGGAGCGCCGCGGGCGGGCCTGTCCCGGGGAAGTCACCTGGCCCGATGGATGGGAGAGCCGTGTCGTGTCACCGTTTCTCATCCCACGCTCCCGCTGTGCTGAGGTTTCGGCCGTTCTCCTGGCGGGGAGCCCGAGACCCGGGCGCAGACGGAACCCCGTGCGCAGTGGGGGCCCGAGAACGCGCAGCTGGGGGGCCGCCCGGGAGAACAGCGCCGCCAGGCGCCCGAGCCGGCGACGTCTACAGGGGGTTCTGACTCTCCCAGGGGCACACGGGGCAGCTGAGACCTGGGGGCCAGTCCACGCTCCCGCCAAGACCTGGGGCGGGTGACTCCGCTGCCCGAGCCTCGGGGCCCCCCTTGGTGGGAGGAATGAGGGCCCCCTCGCTGGGCTGGGGGTGCGAAGCCCACAGAGGAGGAGCTGCTGAGGGCCGGGGGGCCCTCGGCCCTGGCTGGTGCCTGGGATCCCTGGGTGGTCCCCACCGGGTGCCTGTCACCAGCCAAGGTGGCCGGCAGGGGAGGCGACCCTCCTTGCTGTCCCGTGCTCCGCCATCCCAGCAGAAGTGCAGAGACCCATCTGTGGGCTCTCCCATACGTGGACATCCATGGTCCAAGGGCCAAGTTCAGGGAAGGAAAAGGGGTGAAATGCCAGGGGCCCTAGAGGAGCCCGGAAGTGACCGCACACCCTGGGCATGTAGAATGCCCCTGCTGACAGACAGACGACCCTGACGCGGGGAGTGACGTAGCTCCTGCAAGTTCAAGTGCTGCGCAGGAATGCAGGCAACGGCATTGAAACAACCGTATATTCAGTGTCGGGGCACTAGACTCACGGGGGCATCACTTGGTAGGATACATACACGTCTAATAATCGTCTAATAATCGCGCGTTACACACCGGAAGCTGATACAGTGTTGTAGGTGCATCGCCGCTGAAGGATTTTTAAAAGTTACAAACAAGACTGTCCTGAGTTGGGGCGGAGAGAAGAGTCAGCCATTCCTCAGCCAAACCTCGGAGACGCCGGGCGATGTTGAAACGCTGAACCGGCTCTTTCTGCAGTACCGCTGGGTGCATTGTTACAGGTAACGGGATCATTGTGACATCTTTTGTTTCGATAAGTTTATTGTGACACAGAGGAGGTTTCATTCCGGTCTTCTTCTTACAGAGCTGGCTCCATAGAGGTGGTGGCCGAGCCCGCTTTCCTGTCTCCCGGGGGAACAGAGACGCAGGGGGCGGGGCCCAGCGTGGGGCGGGGCCCAGCGTGGGGCGGGGCCTAACGCGGGTGCCGCCCAGTGTGGGGCGGGGCGGGCGACTCTCTGCCATCACTGCAGGTCTGCGCTGCCCACGGGGTGGGAAACGAACCACAGTTGCATAATTGTTACAGACTGACGGTTCTCTTGCCTTCATTTTCATAAGATGCCGCCAATTAGACAATAAGGGTTTTTTTTGAGTTCCTGTTCAAGAACGCGCTCGGAAAACGCGTGTTTCCATGGAGACGCAGGACTGACGTGCCGGGATGCGCTCCCTCCCTCCCGCGATGGCAGTGCAGGACCAGCCCTGTGAGCTTCACCCCCTTCCAGCGCGGAGAAGGGGACGCGGCCGGCTGCGTGGAGGCAGGAGAGCCGCAGGGGAAGATGTGGGTTGGAAACGGGGCCTCGCCGAGGTTCCCGTCTCCCGTGGCGGTTGTAAGAGAGCGCGCACTGCCGAACTGTTAACGCCGTAGAGAAAGAGGGCTTCCCCACGACGAGGGGCCGCGAGAAAGCGCGAGAGTGCCCAGGACCTGTCGCGCAGGAGCCCCTCTGGGGGGCGCACGCGGTCTGGAGCGGGAACAGCGGGCGCTCCTCCCCGCGGTCCGGAGACCTTGCGGCCACGCGGGCGGAAGTGCGTGCTGGGCGTCAGCAGGGGCTCTCTCCACGC